CGTCAGCGTCAAATTGACCGTGGCCGATCGCCTCTCTCAAGAATTCATCAAAGTGAAGGGAAAGATGGAGAAGGACAGAGATGCCATTCTATTGGGTGAAATCGATACAGAAGATGTTGGACTGAAGACACTCTCAGCTCTCTGCACGAAGACGATCAAGAGCCACACGGTTATATTCGTCACACAGAAAGTCATCGCACATCGATTGAAGATCATCTTCGGTCTATCAGGTCTCAAAGCTTCGGAACTTCACGGAAATTTGACTCAGAATCAACGTCTGGAGGCCCTCGAAGACTTCAGGGACGGAAGTGAGTTGTAGATCGCCGGTGTTCCCGGGATTCCGGTCTCTTCCGCGGAACTGACCCGAAGCGTTGTAGAGACGGATTTCTTGTTGGCCACCGATCTCGCTGCGAGAGGATTGGACATTTTGGGTATTAAGACGGTCATCAACTATGAGATGCCCTCGTCTCTGGTCAACTATGTCCATCGCGTGGGAAGAACGGCCAGAGCTGGAGCCGACGGAAGAAGTATTTCTCTGGCCGGAGAGAAAGATAAGGCACTCCTCAAGAGAATCGTGAAGAGAGCAAAGGATAAGGTGGTGATCTCATCATCATCACCGACACCATCATCGACATCGAAATGAGCGACTCGTACTGAAAACGGAATTCAGGTCAAGCAGCGAATCCTTCCGCCCCAAGACGTCCAATTCTGGAGAGACAGAATCGCAGACATGGAGGTGGAGATCAAGACCGTATTATCCGAGGAGAGAGAAGAGAAGGAAATGAGACACGCCGAGAGGGACGCCAGCCGAGCCGTAAACATGCTCAAGCACGAAGAAGAGATCATGGCTAGACCGAAGAAGACGTGGTTCTTGAGTGAGAGGGAGAAGAAACAGCAGCAGGGTGAGTCGCTGAGATGATGGTGATGATGATGATCTGATGGGATGGATTAGAGGCGGACAGTACGGCGAAGGGATTTGGAAAGAAGAGGAGACAGGAATCGGGGGAGGAGCCTCCTCAGAAGAGAAAGAAGATCGCCGGTCTGGTGAGATGTCGAGATGAGATCATCAGACGGTTCTGATGTACGGCAGTTGGCACCCAAGGAAGGCCAGAAGTTGACGCGCCAGCAGAGGAGAAGAAAACAATTCGCAGCAGACGATGCTTTCGTTCCAAAGAAGAAGTTGCTGGCGAAGGCCAAGAACTACAAAGGTGATGATGGACATCGGTGTCCATGATGTGAAGCTCACATCGGGTCAGATAACATCAAGAGGAGTAAAGAGGATAAGGCGAAGGCACAGAGAGAGAGATCATCCAACTTTGAGAAGGAGATCTCTACGTCGAAGTTTTCTAGAGGAGGAGGCGGAGAGAAGAAGAAGAGCAACGGACACCGCCAGAAGGGAGGAAAGAGGAGGAAGTAAAGATCTCACTTTACAACTTGGTTCTACTCTATCGTGACGAGCTCACTTCCTGGTTCGATGAAAAAAACACATTGCTTTCATTTGAAAAAAGAGCCCTTTAATATTTGATCTTTTAGTTGAAATCTCAGATTTGACGATTTGTCTTTGAAAAATAGCCCATATTTGATATTTGTTCCACCCTCCTCCAGACCTGGCCACCTTAAGAGACGACCTCGCTGACACACACCGTTACTCGTCGCACGATTCCACCCTCCTGAGACGCAGAGAAGAAGCGCGTGGCTTCTATCTCCTCTCGAACGACGAGTGGACTAGGATGAAGAGATGATTACGCGAGATAGAGTGTGTGGTGAGATAAGATGTTATTGAAGAGAGTGGAAAGTAGAGGTGGAACTTTTGACAGATGATCTCAGCCAAAAGACTCAAAAAAGATCTTTGCGAAAATTAAAATCTGCGGAGACCGTTGCATGGACACCGATTATTAGCTGCTCTTCGTTATCGCAGGGCATCACGGCTTGTTAACGTGGATAGTTCACCTAAACGATGGAGAAGGTAAGTGAACTCGGTACTACTTGAAAGTTCCCTGCTCGTCCCTGGGGTGACCTCTTAAGGAGTGTGCGTGTATTTACCTCCCTTGGACACCATTCGAGACGCACACCAACACGAAGCAACACGAATGCAAAGGAAGTAGCCGCACGAACGCAAACGCTTCATGAAGAGCTTGGACGGAGATGAACCGACGAGGAAACCGAGGTACGCGAGGAGAGACATCCGCAAGAGCAGTACCAGGGGGACACGTATGGTCTTCAAGAGGACAGGACACAGCATGCCGGTCACTTCACATCGAGAGGGACGCGGGCATCATGCAAATATGGAATGTAGATATTTATACAGGATGGAATTATCCTTCAATAGATCAATGATCGCATCGACAGTGTCTGTTATATAGACTCAAATCGATCATGTTGACAACAACGTCGTTGTCAATGTACCGTTGGTGATGTCCACCCTAGAGTTGTAATCGAAGCTTACTCATTTCTACACGCCATTATCCATTTGACGTCACAATGTCCAACCAAATCACACTCTACGATCTACCCAACAAGAACCCTGACGTGGGTTGTTGGTGAGGCCACTACCAATTCGATCGTCACAACCTCATCATCTTCAGGTCACCCAACACGTGGAAGGCAAGAGCTGCTCTCAACTTCAAAGGATTAGACTATAAGACAGAATGGATATCTTATCCAGACATTACACCCAAGTTGACCTCTTTCGGGTGATCTTCATTGGCAATGTGCCGTTCTGATCGTCGCAGTGTCCCAGGAGATGACAATTGGCCCCATCACACTCTTCCCGCCATCTCCTACAGTGACGATGGAAAGACATCATTCAAAATGGACTCTGCGAGGATTGCGGCCTATCTGGAGGAGTTGAAACCACAACCCTCTCTGCAATTGTCTGACCCCACAGTCGAGCAGGTGTAACTCCATCAACGTGCACCATGTCTCTTACATCGGCGAACAGGTGCAACACATTGTTCAACGTGACATCATGGGAATCATCCGTCCCATCATGCTTCCACGTGTGAGTCCAACCTCCATCAGACTCGAGCTGAGAACATCAGGTACCCAATGCACTCCTCCCTCCACGCGATGCGCAGTACTTTCACGAAACGAGAACGAAGGCGTTCGGCTGCACTCTCGAAGAGCTCTTAGCCAAGACCGATGAAGAAGCTCTTTGGAAGACAACGTCTCAGACTGTGCGAGATAAACTCGTGCCTCTCTTAAAGAAGAGCGGAGGACCTTTCTTCTTGGGAGAGAAAGGTAAGAGAGGGAGATGATCGTCTCTGATGATGGACAGCCTCTTACGCCGATCTCTTTCTGGGGTCCTTCCTGGCTTGGTTCCGAGTGGTCGACCCTGCCATCTTAGAGAGGTGCGTGATGACGATGGACAATTTGCATGAGCCTAAGACACACGCAGGTTCTTGTCTTTCGATTCAGAAGGCCACCTAAGAACCTTATGGCAAGCGGTTCAACCCTTTTTCGAAAGAGCCAGTTTTTAAAATAAAAGAATATCTCTCAATAGACGCGATCATCATCTTCATTGGACGAGAGACGTGCTTGTCTCTCCCGATTGTGTGGTGACCTTGACGAAAGAGCCATTTGCGGGTCTCTCTTGTCCCTTGGTCCACTTTGAGATGAGACTGGCGATGTGATTCAGAGGTGTCCAATCATCAAACTTGTCATTGGGTCCAGCAGAGCTCCTGTTCATGGGGGTGTCCAACATGACTGGAAGCATACAGACGACACTCACTGTCTTTGTCAGAGGATCATGATGTTGCAATGAACACACCTCCTTGTTTGAAATCGCTGGTGGAAGCGGCTAAAGAGGTCGTCAGATGGTGAGTCGCTGCCTTTGCGGCTCCGTATGCGGATAAGAAGGGTGTGGGCTTGTTGAATGCACCCCATGCACCAGTGAGAACGAGCAGACCATTCGCGTTGAGGGTGTGAGAAGCCACCCAAGACGAAGCGAAGGAACTTCTGACATTAAAAGCGTACATCTTTTCTAACTGCGTCCACGTCAGTTGCATTCACAGCTTTTAGACATCACCTGGGCGAAGATGTCTGGGCTATTGAAAGACCCCATTTCGAATCCTCCAGCGACACAAATCAGAGCATCGACACCTGATCCAATTAGAACATGATGATGAAACCGAATTACCATTGATGACGACTTTCTGGACAGCGTCGAGAACTGACTGAGCATCCTCTTTGGTGCCATCCGATTTGATGACAACTGACTGGTCGGCTGCGCTGTTGGCCCTGAGATCGACACTGATAACAGTAGCGTTCTCCTTCTTCAATTCTGAAACAATCTCTTGCCCCAGAGCTCCGGCACCTCCCCACACTACGACTGTCGGCTTGCTCATTTTTCGATGGTCAGATGTCTCTGATTATATTTACACACCAACAAAATAAAAGTTAGGAAATTGCGTTTCGTCTTGCAAGAATTCGACATCATCTCGCCTATCTATGATTATGCAAGCCTTACATGAGCCGTCAAACACGAAGATAGCGTGGCCGAGTGGTTAAGGCGGCAGACTGCTAATCTGTTACCTTCGGGTGCGAGAGTTCGAATCTCTCCGCTGTCGTACCTTTTACTACTCAGACATCTCACTCTTCCCTCCCTCTGTGGAGCTATTGTCAAGAAATGATATGCATAGACTACAATGCCACGTGGCAATCTACATTGAGCTTTTTCTCTTATATCCGCGGAAGATGAATTAGAGAGAGGTGATTGATTGTAACTCTCTCTTTTGATGTAGAAGGGGAGATACAAAGTAGAACAGCTTGCACAAGCTAACCAGCGAATGCTTCGAAGGAGATTGAGAACAGACAGTAAAAGGATATGCTCAATGCAGGGATCGAACCTGCGACCCCCGCGTGTCGTGGGACGTGTATTAGCACGGTGCTCTAACCAACTGAGCTAATCGAGCTTGTGATGACGTGTCGTGCAACGCGAGGTGTTATCTACGCAATCTGCATAATGACGTCATTGTGATGCGTGATACTCAAGTTACGAGGATAGCGTGGACGAGTGGTTATGGCTACAGACTGTTAAGACTGTAATCTTCGGATGCGTGAGTTCGAATCTCTCCGCTGTCTTATCTTTTACTCCACTGACATCGCACTCTTCCCCCCCTCAGTGGATCGTTGTGCTGAGATATGATGTGAGCAGACTTCACTGCCACGTGGCCATCTACATCGAGCTTTTACTTTCATATCTGCCGAAGATGACTCGCAAACATTGAGCATCACCGTGCGTGATCATCTTTGACACACCGTATGAACTTGGGTACGGAAGTCTCCAACATCTGTGTTTACAAACCGTGTAAGATTGTTCACACAAGTGAAATTGATGAGTGGTACAGACCTTTTTAGTGATGCATAGTCAAAAGCTTGTCACTCATCTCCCACCAACTGTACAGCAGGTGACAATTTACACTTCTACCCTTAATTTTATATGATGTTACACATCCTAGCAAACCACCACTTCTTCTCCCTTCCTCTCAACTGCGCAGCTGCTACGTTGCTCTGTCGATTGAGGTTCACATGCTGTCCAAACAAATCTCTGAAACTCTTCCACGTAGCTCCCGTTGGATCATCATTGCCCTCAGCAATGTACGCCGTCATATCATTCACGACACTTCTCCAATTCCTCAGTCTGGCCTCCAAATCTCCCGGTGTACGGCAGTTCTTGGCGTTCAGAACCGGAAGCACCTTCAACTCCATTCTGACCAGAATCTTGTACACATCGGTGATGCAGTCCAAGGGTAGTTCGGAGGCAATGTACACGGCACAGACGATCTTGTCGTACAACATCTCCATTGTCTTACGGAGGCCACGAATGAAAGCCTCGTTCCTCACCAATCGTTCGGCGCCAAATCCGGGCCAATCCAACAGAAAAACTCTCCCCTGTGACACTTGAGTACGCCGTCGGAATTTTTCAGTCGTCTCACCTCACAGTCATCAAAGAAGGGAATGAGTACGGGGGAGGTGGAATTATTCACTCCACCACCGGTGGGTATGTTACCCACTCCACCGGCCTCCAGACAGAGTCGATTCAGTGTCGTAGATTTTCCGGAACCACTCGCACCAAAGAAAGGAATGATGACATCCGTGGACCTCCACCATTCCTGCAGTCTCTGCCAGTCTCTCTCGGTCACGTGATACTGCTGGAAGAGCTGAATGTTCTCGAACCCTTCAGGGAGATCGGACGTGGTCCGTGGCGCATTATCGAGAGAAGGTGAAGGAGGAACCACTGCGGTCCTGATAGCGACTGAAGCCGCCTCTGGAATAGTGGGAGCTAAAGGGAGAGTGGTTCCTTTCCACACGCGATTGTACAAGTGACGAAACGGCGGAGACACCAGTGAGGCGGCCCTTGAGATCCCTCCGAGGCATTGTGAAGACAGTAAGATCCAACTGGCCTGGTCGTGAAGAGCAATCTCTCCCCTCTCGACGTGTTCTCGGATGTTGACCATGCCGTGAGCGGCAACGTTGTGGCCCATGAAGGTACGAGCCAAACTCAAAACAGGCTGGCCCACGCATGCGACCACAGTGGCTACCACCTGCTGGATGGCGAAATCTTGACCGGATCCACAGACGTAAAAGTATCGAGCGCGGCTCTTGAACATCATGTTGACGAGGTTGGGTGTAGAGTTGAGAGTGTATGAGCCTTCGACGCATTCTGCCGTCTGATACGTGCTGTGAAAGTGGTCCGGTTGTCCTGGGGAGTCGAAACTGATGGCCGTGCAACCCTTGATGCCCTTGAAATGACGACAGATCAAAAGGCTCTCCGCGATGCTGCCACCCAGCGAGTGACCCACGAATGTGATCTTTTCCTTCGAGAGATCGGCTACGTAATCTTGATTGGAAAGCTGCCGATCGATCTGCTCTACCGTGCGTATGAGATCATTTGTGTGGAATCCGGTCGCTCCAACCACGAGGTGTAGGTCCTGGAACAAGTCTTGGATGGTGGAGGTACCTCGTATGACGACAACGTATTTGGGCGAGCCCGGTGATTTTGAAAATAAGACTTTCCTCCAGATCTGAACGCGACGATTGAGTAGATCACCTACGTGTTCAAATTCGTAGCCTTTTCCCGTGATTGGTGTTCTAAGATCCTTGTAACTGATCTCTGCCAGGCGAGCGTAGGGCAGGAAGAGGGCTGCATCTGGTTGGTGTTTCCTTGCAGGGCGATACAATAGGAAGATGACGAGAGGGAATGCGCCGAGAAAGAATATACAGAGAAGGAGCTCCTGCGTTACCGTCATTGGTGAAGTCGCTGAGTTGCATCAGAGCCACTTTTTTCACACCATCGGACTCTCACCGCTCCTTTTGCGTTGTATCTCTTGCTGTACTCTGTTCACTCAGCGGAATAAGTGGTCAGAGCGTTTCAGAAGAATGCGCTGTCTTTTACTTACGAATCGCAAGGTGTTTTGGGTCACATTTTGTCCAACATGTTCGCATTTCTGCAGAATCGCCAAGGACAAAGGAGGTGCATCTTGATGACACGAAACTTGTGCCACGATTGACAAAAACAGACCACATCGTTCGTCCATGGGCACTTGCCAGTCCTTCTTTGTTAACCAATCTGAAACACGTGTGCTGGTCCACGTAACTTACTCCGGAGGGGGCAACAGCTGCTTTGATCGTCGAATCATAGTGCCCGGCGGTTTCGACTGCGACGAGTACCTTTTGGCGGCGTGGATGGTGAGAACTCACATCATGTTGCATTGTCTCACCCAACTTTCAGTTGAACGTCACGATTTGGGCCATAGGTACGGACTCGGTTAAGAGTTATCCGCACAAGCCTAGGATAGACTTTCAACTTGCGCCAAAGTGGAGTTGCATCATCAGAGAGGGAATCGCAGGAAAGCTTGAGATCTGGAAGGTTCCCTCTCCGAAGGAGTACATGAGTAATTGCAAAGGAGTTCGATGGGCCGAAGGTGTTAAAATTGGAGAGGTATAAGTGGGAGCTAATTAAAATTCTATACCAGTGGTGTCATATCGTGAGCTTGCTCTTGCACAGTTTGAAGATAAGCTTCCATCCGACAATATAATGGTGTTTTCCTTTATAAAGAAGGACTTCCTCATCCAATCTTCAACTGGATCTGAGAATCGCTTCCACATCAACGACGACCAGAAGCGGAGGAGGCAGGGTCCTTCTTGTCCCACACGAGGGAGAAGGCCTTGCTGACATCAGTCTTCTCAACCCCCACGTGACCATTCCATTCAGCCTTGTTCTTCTCCGCATTCGTGTTGAGGAGCAGCTTGAGATCGTGACCGACGGGCTCACGAGATGACAAGGTCCGATCGGGCTCGAGGACGTGGCAGAAGTGTTTCTTCTGAGAAACCCATGCTCCCACACCACTCGATCCATATTGATAGCTTCATCATGGTCAGATCACGGCGTCTCCGCGAGTCGATCATCACCTGCTGGTCAATTCTTCGAGAGGAGGTTCCAATTTTCTGATCTTGAAACCACAGATGGATTCGTTTTTATCTTCGGTCCAGGTCACACGGAGATACCTAATCTACGTCATCCTCCATCTGCGAGACGTCTATCATAAAGATAATATCAATCTCACTTCTCGTTTTTGATAGAGATATTGACGGGAAGGTTGTCATCACCACACAAGAGGAATCCGTCGGTCTGCTCGTTGATGAACTGTTCCTTGTGAGTCAGATGCGGTGATTCACGTCGTCACCTCGATCTGTTTGAGATAGCGACCGGTCAGGCTGACCCTCCTCGATCTCTCTACCCCTCCCGTCTCTTCAGAGGTTCCGATGTGATCAGTCAGCCTGTCGTGGTAAACGGTCGCGATCAACGATTTATCGTGTTCAGAGTGGGGCAACGCCTTTCTCCAATACTTCTCCAGCTGCAATCGGCACTCGTCAAGCAGTGCAGATGGCTCCGACTTGATCTTCCAGATGGGTACCATGTTGTAGATGTCGCTGTCGACGATCTTCCACAGGGTTGGGTCGAATTTTCTCTGCTAGAGTAAGGAGACTTAAAATCGTGCAAACAGTCTTCACACCCTCTCGAATGCTTCTCTGGATCCGTTGCCCTGAGTGCGAGAGGTTTTGTGTAAGGTCTCTCTCGTGTCGGTGCGACCGAAACTACCACCGAACAATACGGACACGAATTTCAGGCACAGTTCTGGTGAGGGTGAGAAGAAGTTAGAGTCATGTCATACCTAGTCCGAATTGATAGGCAGTGGAGTTTGAAGTGGAGTGAATCTCTTCGGAGGAGCTACCCACGTGATATACTGATTAGCGATCAGTCAGCGCGTGTGATGACGATGGAGGATGGAGTGATCATCTTCGAGGGTGCTCACGTCCGACTCTTTGACGGCCCACGATGATGTGTGATCCGTATCGGTTCAAGAACTCCCGAGCTGTCGCACCGTCCCTGACTAATAGCATGCTGTTGACGACGTCATCCTCCAATTTCAGCTTGTTCGTGTTGGTGGAAAAGTACCACTGACTGAATTCGACGACTTTGTGCTCCTCCACACTGACTTGGGAGCTCGATGACGAGAGAACTTTATCGTACTGAAGCGATATACCTGCGGGAGTCATTACACCGCAGCTGCGCTAATCTCACCTGACCCGTGATAATCCCCACAAACCACCATCCTATTGGCATCTCTACTCGACCAGAAGGTTGCCTCTTCCTTCGATATAGATAGTTCTGCAAGGGTCTCGTCGTTGATGACGTTAAAGCAGGAGCTGTCGTTCAAGACGATCGGAAAAGCGCGACGCTCCAGCTGGACGGCCTTTGTTACGTTGTTGACAGTGAAAGATACCCCGAATCTACCATGTTCCTTGCAGAATTTCTTCTGTGAATCTTCATATCTGTGCATGCGACGGTAGAGAAACCAGATGAATGGAATGACGATGAGGGCGACTGCCGATATAGAACTCGGGAGTGCAGAGGAGGGTGGAAGTGATCTCGATCCCAGATAATCACCCTCATTGTCAGCTGGACCGTATGAGCTCATGACCACCACTAAACAGGCCGATCGATATGATAGACAGAGTACTGTACGACTCAACGGATGGAGTCGCAGGAGAAGTAGGACCCTGTTCGGTGGTTTGTG